TTCTTCTTCTTCTTCTTCTTCTTCTTCTTCTTCTTCTTCTTCTTCTTCTTCTTCTTGTTCCACCTCCTCCTCCTGCTCCATTTCTTCCTCCTCTTCCTCATCCTCCTCCTCCTCCTCGAACAGCTTGAACCAGCGCGCAATATCAGGCGTCACAGTGAAGGATCACAGTGGAGGGTCACCATGAGGTCACAGTGAGGACACAGTTACGTCTTCCATGAACAGGAAACAGGGTGCAACGTTTGTGATCGTTCGCAAAGACGTGGAGGGGAGGGGAGCGAGAGAAGAAGGGAGGAAGGGAAGGAGAGGCGAAACGTTATTTTTACCAGTTGTGTAAAAAGCATTCTCAGTACACACGTCTTCCAATGCTCAATTTGATGTCTACAAATGATTTGATGGCTTACTTCCCTTGTTCTTCTACTTCTTTTTGTTCTTGTTCTTGTTCTTCTCCTTCTTCGTAAATTGTGCCATTCAATGTATTTACATTCAACTTGATCTCAGAAGAATCAAAATGATAATGCTCCGAACTTCAACTGACATTGCATGCATGCTCTCTGTCTCTCTCTTGCTTTGTCAATACGTGACAATTGCAATTCTGTTCTGTCTGGTATCTTATGTGAGAGAATGGGGGAAACTGCAAGTGACCCAAAATAACACCGCTAAAACTAGCGTTGGAAGAAAAAGAAGCAATATTCTGCTTTATGTTAAAATCTCTGCTTTGTCTTCCAGTCAAATATACAGTTTGTACCATATTATGTTTTAAATGTCTTAACAATAAGCTTCATTATACCTATCTATGCTTTTAACACCATTATGTTCCACCCCAGTAGTTACAGTCACTCACTGTCGCAATGAAATTCATAATCCCTAGAATGAAATTAAGGTCATTAAAATTTGGAGAGAGACTTTTTTCATTTTTGGGCCCTAAAATGTGGAACTCTTTGCCTCAGGACTTCAAAGAAACAACAAATTCTTATGCATTTCAGCGATTGCTTGAGACTCATTTGTTTTAATAAGTCTTAATTGGGGTGTGTTAGCAGGCGCTGATGTGTCTTTTTTTTCACTGCTGTTTGAGACTCATGTGTGTTAAGTCTTTGTTGGGGTGGGTTAGCAGGTGCTGATGTGTCTTTTTTTTTTCACTGCTGTTTGAGACTCATTTGTTTTAAGTCTTAGTTGGGGTGGGTTAGCAGGTGCTGATGTGTCTTTTTTTTCACTGCTGTCCTTATGTGTCTACAGAATTATTATAATCGATGTATGCCTGAGAAACTTCTTCCTTATGTTATTGAACTAGTTTCCTTGTTTATATGAA